ATTCAGAAAATTACTCTAACGATCATAATTGACTTAACAGTAGCAGTATAGAGACGAAATTCGACATAAACAAGTTGTATAAGAACAAAAATCTATCTTCCAAATTTGATTTTATCATAACTGGCTTAATAATGGCAATTTTATGACGAAATTCAACACAAACAGAAACAATAATCACTTTACCAAATTTGGTGACGATCGGCTCATAATTGATCCTACCCCCCATATTAGATCCCCATTATCCCCATGACCCTATCGCTCTTAAGTGACTTAATAATAGCAGTAAGCGACGAAATTCGACACAAACAGGTTTTATAAGAACAAAAAATATCTGTCCCAAATTTAATAAGGATGGATTCAAAATTGACCCTTCCCGCCATATGGAGTCCACTTTCGAAAGTTCCGACATACAACAGGCTAAAATACAACTACAGTGATGAAAATCAACACAAACAAGTTTAATAGGATCCAAAACTTCATTACCAAATTTTGTAACGATGGGTCCTTAATACGCTTTCTGGTCCCTTATTTATAGGCAAAAATTTTATGTCAAAAATATATCAATCTTTCATAGATCACTGTCATTAAAACGTGCAATATATAAAAATTTATAATTTTTTGCAGTTTTTAGAATTTAACTGTATCAAAATTCTCCACATTATTAATTAATTACTATATTTTAAATTTCCAAAATATATGTTTTAATTCGAAAAACACGAAAATTTCGGAATGTATGATCATGATTTACATCTTATCTAATGGCACCTCGTAGGATCACTGATATGATACCCCATTCGTTTATAGGGAACTTTTCAATTAACACTTTAAAGAATTAAACATTTTCTTACAATATTAACTTGTACATAGAACAAATTCAATGGGAGTGATAGGTTTGTATGGCTTTAGAAAGCTTGGATCAAAACTTGTTGTTTAAAGTTTCAAAAATTACTCTAAATTTTCATTTGTTAGTTAGCTTTTTACCTAAATCTTCCAACTTGCTTTTAAACTTTGACAATTTTCCACAACACAAAGCTTTACTTTTTAAATTGATCAACTGCATTTCTAGAGATCCAATACCAATTCAAATGGGCTCAATGAGGATTTATTCTCAAATGTACAATTGTAGGGGCAAATAAAAGCGAAAAGCTAATTGTGTTCTTTCTTTCTCACTCAAAAAGTATTTGTTTTTGTTTTGTTCATGTACAGAAACGATTAAGCAAAGTTAAAAAGTTTTGTATATTGTAAAACGTTGCTCGTATTCGATTCGGAAAGATTTAAATATGCATACAATATTTTTTTATAAAATAAATAAAATTTGTGTATGAAACTAAAGAGCCACAGCTCCACATCCAAAGAGCCGCATTTGGCTCGCGAGCAATAGTTGCGACCCCTGGACTAGACTATAGCTATGACTATAGACTAGACTAAAGACTAGACTATATACTAGACTATAGACTAGACTATAGACTAGACTATAGACTAGACTTAGACTATACTATAGACTAACTATAGACTAGACTAGACTATAGACTAGACTATAGACTAGACTATAGACTAGACTATAGACTAGACTATAGACTAGACTATAGACTAGACTATAGACTAGACTAGACTAGACTATAGACTAGACTATAGACTAGACTATAGACTAGACTATAGACTAGACTATAGACTAGACTATAGACTAGACTATAGACTAGACTATAGACTAGACTATAGACTAGACTATAGACTAGACTATAGACTAGACTATAGACTAGACTATAGACTAGACTATAGACTAGACTATAGACTAGACTATAGACTAGACTATAGACTAGACTATAGACAAGACTATAGACTAGACTATAGACTAGACTATAGACTAGACTATAGACTAGACTGTAGACTAGACTGGACTAGACTTGACTGTAGACTAGACTACTTAGACTATAGACTACAAATATAAAACATGGTGTTCGCTGGGTCTATGAATTGAGTAATTTGTGATAAAAAGTCCCGTCAAATTCTCTGTAAAAGGTTTAGCCGTAAAATAAAATGAATCTTAAAGAGCATTCCGAAGGATGCCCAAAATTTTAGATGCACTTTTATCGTCAAATTCCAAAAAGTCCTCACAGAGAAGATGTTTTGAAGACATTTCTGAAGAATTTTTTCTAAAATTTGTCTCCATATGTGTTCCATTTGAAATGATTGGAATCAACTAGAATTTGTCTAGGATAGACATGAAGCATTATATACTGCATGTATCTTTATAGTTGTACTGTCTGGTTCCAAGACAACATGGTGCGATAAATAATAGTGTATTGGAAATTTAAAATTATGTATGTACATAGGGGATCTACTATTTCCACGTGACCAAGTCGAAGGCATTCCTATAGTCCATTATCATATTGTCTAAATCGTTTCTCCTTTGGGATATTTTTAAAGCGTTTCAATTCATCATTATATGACAAAGTATATTTTCAGGTTCGGGGTTAAAAAGGTTAAACAGATTTTAAAAATCCTTAATTGGAATTGAACTAAATACTTTCATTTTAAGTGCTAATGGAAAATAATAAATTTTATTATTTTATTTGAATTTTGACAATGATTTTATAAATTTTATTGCCTTGTTTAATTTGTGTTTCCATATTTTAATTTATATTAAAGCTTGCAGTTACAGCTGTAATTCTATATTATCGTAATATTTAATTAATATTTACATAAAATTGTACATAAATTATCATTAAAGTGATAAACTATTTTTCGGCGACATTTATTTTACAAAGAATTTTTTTTTTAATTTAAACAATTAAAAAAATATATAAAGAGTATTTTAATAAGATTATTCTTCTTTGTATCATAGCGAATTTTTCAAATTTACAAAATATAAGAAGTTTAAATTCAGAAAACATTATATGCATCTCTTTGATATGACAAAAATCTTAAGAGAAAAAAATACATCAAAATTGTGATCTCTAATTCTTGATAGTGACAAACATAAAATGTTTGATCTTAAAAAGTTTGTCGCATCAAACATAAGACTAAGAAAACTTTTAAGAAATTTCAAAAAGCTTTTAATTAAAACACGACTTTGAAATAGCATGTTGCAACAGGTTTGATGTTCGTCTCACACATTGTAACTATGAGTACGCATACGCTAAGATACATTTGGTTTGATATTGAATGCATATTTATGTTTAGCTTTTGTTGTTGTTGTATGTAGACTAAATAATTTTGTAAACAATTTATAAAAAGAAAAAAACTAAAAATTTAATACAAGAACTAGTTTTTGTTTAAAATTTTAAAGCAAAACTTAAACTTTTCTTACATTACTAATGAAAAGAGCAAGAGAATGAGAGATATAGTGAAAAAAAGAGAGTAAAAGATCAGTTTAAATAGTATTTATGAAATACAAAATATTTTTTAGCGCTTTAGTTGTAAACATTTGTTTAAATAACTATGCAACTAAAGCTAAAGAAACTATTTACTCAACAGAGGTCGGGCGTTAAAGAGTTAGCTACTTGTCTGTCGTTTTTTTCTTTAGTTAGTGAGTGGTCTGTGCGAATTTTGTGTTTTTTTGCTAAAATGGCTTTTGCAAATCTGTAATTATGAAAAAAAATAAAGATAATTAAGAAAAAAATTTGCTGAATTGTTAAGAAAAAAGTCATGTTAAAAATAAAAGATTTTGACAACAACAAATGAAATTAAAATGAAAATTTTAAAATTACTATGAAAATAAAGGAAATGTTTAAATCTATAAAGAATTAAAAAAAATCTTAAAATTGTAAAACAAAAAAGATTAAAAAAATATAAAAGAATTGAACATTTGTTTTAAAACTATAACTTACATAATTTTGTTTTATAATAAATTTCTTAACCTAATGGCCAAATAAACGAAATAATACAAAATTATCACAAATATCTGGCTGAGACGCTAGACAGCCTGTGGCAAACCTAGTTTTGGGGCTTTTAGTGAATACGAAAGACGATCACTTGATCGTTTACACTGTCGTTTTTAAAATTGGCAGCATAACAAACCCCCACTATTGGCAGCATTTATTACATGATCTCGCTCATTTGCTCCTGTCTCAATCAAAATAAATCTTCGTTGGACGCTTGCAACGTTACAACGTAGTTTAAATTATCATCACCACTTGTGCCAACAGACGCGCCTTAAGACAACAACAACAAACATATCGAAAAAAAAACTAAACGCAACGCATATTGTGCAACTTATCGAATTGAACAGTACAAAGTCTAACTAGCCAAGTGTGTGCATATTTGTGCAGTTTTAGTGGCAAATAAAAACGACAGCATTAAAGCTGCAACCAAATAGCTAAATAGCCAAATATTATTATTGGTAGTCAGACAGACGATACGATCGCTACTAGCAAAATAGTAAAAAATAAATAGAAAAAATTAGATTGCACAATTCTTAAACAAATACAACACACAAAGAAGAAAGAAACAAAACAAAAAATTGAAAATAAAATTAAAAAAAAAAAAACAAATATACGTCGATGAGTGTAGTGTTGGTAGTGAGTGTGTGGTTTCTTAGCCAAATGCCAAAAATGCATGGTAGTTGTTAAGAAACATTTAAGTTGGCTTTAAACCATGCCTTTGGTTTTAGCACTCTCTTGAGGAGAGTAGCTAAACCAAATTGGCTGATGGTGGTTATTAACAAAACTCTTTAAAAGTGACCAAAACCCAAACATCACAAAAAAAAAACCAAAGCAAACAAAGAAATTAAAAAAAAAAAAATTATATCTCACAAAACGCAAAACAAATTCATAACTAAAACAATCATCATAAATAATAACATTAAAAAATCTATTGCACAAAAATTTCATCACAAAAAAAAAAAAAAAAATAATAATACTAAAATTGTTGACCCAGTTTTTACTTAAAAAAAAAAAACAAACAAACTTCCTAAAAAACCAAATTTTTTGTTATATTTTTCTTTTTCCCCGCGCCTGTTAAATAAAAACCGTCAAAATTGCTGTCCTACTTTGTTCCAGAATTATGGGGTACATAATGCGGCGCTTTCTGCGTACGGCCATGATCGTGTTCAGTTGGTTCGTTGTACCCTATAGTCGTTTCACCAACATCAAAGTGAACCGTCAAAAGCTGCCGCCCATAAAATCGCATCTATTGGATATACCCGCCGTTGATCTTGCCAAAATGATAAGAACCAGAAAGGTAAGTTTTTTGTTTTTTTCTCAAAACCACTAAATTTTCCATTTAAGTACATATCCTTGTCAAAGACAAAAAAAAAATCCCCTGAGCTTTTAACACAGTATTTAATATTTTTTTTTTTTTTAAATTATATTATTGTTTATACTTATAACTTGAAAATATTTTAATTGTTGTTGTGTGCATTTTATTAAAATTTATTAATTCTAATAAAATTGCTGCGAAATCAATTGAAAATTTCAAACAAAACGTGCTTGACTTAATTAAATGTTTTATTTTCTATAACAAAAAAACAATAACAATCTGTCCATAATGTTTAATACACTTCTATGCATGAAAATTATTCTTAATTGCGAATATTGACAAATAAAAAAATATATAAAAAAAAACATTTCGATTAATGGAAAATTTGCTGCGAAATAAATATTATTTCTTATAATCTTGATAATGAATCAGAAAACTTATTGTTGCAAATATTTTTATTACACTCCAGCAAATAATTATAAATTTTCTTTAAAGGAATTTCAATAATTAATCAAACAATAAATATAGAAAATTATTAAAGTGAAAGGTAACATAATTTTTTCAATTATATTTAATCAGAACGATTATTTTTAAAAGTACCAGAAGCAACAATTAAAAAAAATCCATCTAGATGTTGTATTTGTATTATGGTCATTCAATAAGTATAAAAATTATAATTTTTATCCCCATATGAGACCTAACGCAAAGTGAATCATAACTGGGTCCAGCATTTTTTAAACCTAAAAAAATAATTATGTAAAATGTTATTCTTACTTTAGAACATGTCACAGAGCTCCTCACTAGAATTAACTTTAGTATATGATGATAGAATTGTTTTTTTTTTTTCTAGGAAATATCTTGATCTGTCATATAACTCTATATCCTTGAGATATTGTTGTTTTTTTAGTTTATCAAGTCTTTGAAATATATTTGGTTTGTGACATTTGGTCCCATAAAACCAGTAGCATTCATAGTTCCTAAACGGACACTATTCGATAAAAAATATACTCGAATCATTGTCATATTGGAATTTTTAAGTCAGTTATTATTTTCTGGGTTTGGATCCAATATGATCCGATATTCATACAATTTGATAGAAAGATTTTAGTTCCTATAAAGCATGTTGAATTTCATCGATATAATGGTATTTTTAAGGCGACCTTATGAGGGCTGTAGGGCCAATTATGGACCGATCATCATAAAATCTTACAGATAGTTTCAGATTCCTATAAAACTAGTTTATGTAGAATACTCTATAGACACTTTGAAGTGAGTTATGAGCGTTAAAGTAATTTTCGCAAGGGGACCTTACGAAAGGGGACCTTGCCTAAACAAACTTCATCAATTAAAAACATTTGTGTACAATTTCAACTTTCTAGCACCTTCCGATCGGACTCTATGTAATTTGAACAGATGGACGAACATGGCTAGATCGTCTTAAAATCCAATTAGAACCCAGTATATATATACATACATATACATATGGGGAAATTCATGTCAAGTGACTCAACACAAAAAATCGATTTTGACGAAATTTGCACTAAGGTTAGTATTATTGGATAGTAGGTCAGACACAAATTTTCAGCTCTATCGGTCAAGCACTGCCGGACTTAGAGGGGTTCAAAGTTGGACATTTTGGTCATACAGGGTTTTATTCAAATGAGTGTAACTTTTCACCTATTGGTCCTAGCAAAAATTGTCCAAAGGAGTTCAGATAGCTATTTCTTCATTATTTCCATGTTTTTTTTTTTAATTTTTAAGCAATTTTTTGTTTTATATTTTTTTTTTTTTTTTAAATGGGCACTTTTTTCTTTTTGCTTAAAAAAAGCTTATACAATTTCCTTGAAGGGCTTAATAGTCCTTTATGGGATGCGAGTGGAATATCTATTAAAAAAATATTTTTTAACTCAAGAATAATTTTTTTTCAATATTTGGCATTTAATTTTCCCCAATTTTGATTTTCATTGATATAATAGTAAAATCTTTCAGGTTCCTATAAAACTAGTTTATGAGCGTTAAAGTTATGAGCGTTAAAGTAATTTTCTCGAAGGGGAGCTTATATGGGAGCTATGAGAAATAGTGAACTGATATTGCCCAAACAAACTACATCAGTTAAACATATTTGGGTTAAATTTCAACTTTCTAGCTTCTTCCGATCGCACTCTATCGTGATTTGAACCGCATATATATATATATAGTATATACTTTTATGGGTCTTAGACCCTCTCCTTTGGTTATTATAAAAAACCTAATAGCTTACGAAAAGCTTTTTAAGTTTAAAAATTGTATGCTGTGTACATTTTTGCTTTTAACTTTCGAACGGATCAGCGGATCTAAAGCAAATTTTGACAATATGCATATATGACACTGAGAACATATAATTTTAAAATGCATATAATATCTCTTTATCCAAAGACGAAGCCTATTGAAAATAGTTGAAATCGATCCACTATTTCACCTAGTCCCCATACAACCGTACCCTCCGAATAGGGCTTTTAAGCTCATAATTATGTTGAATGTTCTAGTATCTTAACAAAAATTGGCATAATTTAGTTTTATATAAATCGCCAATTTATGATCGGACCTTATTTGACCCTAGTCCCCATACAAAGTCCCCTTCAGAAAAAACACTAGCACGATGAAATTAAATAACTTTTATGTAAACGTAAATCCCTCTACCAGGATAGGCCCATATTGCACCCATATAACCCTTCTGTTAGAAAATCACTTCTCTTGTCAACCACAAGTTATTGTTATTATTTTAGAATTAAGTAAAAAAAACTACTTTAATGCTTTATTTTAAAATACTTTACCACAACCGACTATACATTGTTAGTTGTTTGATCTTAGAGTCCATCAGAGGTTCGGGTGCTATTACAAAGTGTATATGTTTGTATTTATGTATGTATGTCTGCTGTCATTAATATTTTTATTTTAAATAAATCATTTAAAATATCACTTTAAAAATAGGTCGAAATTTGGTTTCGATTTGAAATGTGTGTTCGTTCGGATACACATTACTGACCCAATATGTATTTCATATAAACTAAAACAAGTTATATTTCACTAAATAAAGAAATTTAAAAATTACATTATATGGTTATAACTATAAACTATGCATAGATTATACACAGATAATATCAATAAAAAATATACATATATATGTAGTTTTAAAATAGTTTTCTTTAGAAACCGGTAGTTTCACACTTACGTTATTTATAAGCATTTATTTTAATTTAAGTCATTTATTTTCCTAATAATAAAACAAAAAAAAAACAAAAAAAACAATTCTCACATACATTAAAAACAAACATCAAATTTATACTGCAGCCTCTGATATTGAAAAGCATATCTTCGTTTTTAATGGGTTAAAATAAAACAAAATTTCCAATTCGATGATTAACTAAGTTGCTTTTACTGCATTTGTTTTGTTTTTCAATATTTTTATACCCTACACCACGGTAGTGCAAAGTAATACTAATTTTTTAAGTTGATTAAGCTATGTCCGTCGGTCCATGTCCCTGCTCAAATAGTATATCGGAATTTAAAAAAAAATCCACATAAATGCTTTATTATAAAATAGTTATTGACATATACTTAGGTTAGGTTGACAAGAGGAAGTATACTACATCAAATCCGAAATAATACATCTAGGCCACTATCGGGCCTGTTGTGCGCTCCTTTTCATGTACAAGAAAATTTTTGTTTAAAAAAAATTGTAATGTTTAGAAACTCAGTTTCCGGGACATAATTGCTAAGTATTTTCCAATCAGTGTTAGTGAGGCTTGTTATATCCGGAATAATATCACTCCCAAGATTTTTGAATCTAACTTCCAATTTTGTATAGCTGTGTCCGTAACCATGTGTGTCCACTGAGAGTACGTACCATCATACTAAGCTCAGACTTTGTCATTTTGAACAGATTTCTCGTCTAGCTCTCTTCAAATTCACCCTTATTCCATGAGGCCTTAAGGGATTCACTCACCCAAATTTTTAATTCAGCCTTCGTTGCGTCGAATGGTTTTACGTTCGTCAGGTTAGCTACCTCGAGCTCCCTTCCCTTTAGCTAATTCATTCACCCTTTCGTTGGCGTCTACTCCCGAGGGGCCTGGTATCCATATGATGTAAATCTTACCCCTGGAAGAGTATTCAGTTAAAGCTTTCTTACAATCCAATACGGTTTTAGATTTAACTTTATCACCTGACATCGCCCTAATTGCCATCTGGCTGTTAAGCCCTGTGGGTGCCATATTTATTCTAATACAATTTACGCATTCCGTTATAGCTCGGACTTCTGCCTGGAAGCTTGTTTTGTGGTTAGGTAAACCACAAGTCTTTAATAAAGAACCCCAGGCATGTACTTATACAACCACTTAATTTTTAATGACTACTATATACCGTCTGCATTACTTTTAAGTATACTTATAATGACTTACATATAATCAGATATATAAGTACTTTATTTTGAGTGTTGCCGTTTTATTTGCTCATATAAGTAGTGATAAGCATCAGTTTTAGCTTTTTAACTCATTACTTTTCAATGTAAATTTTTGCTGGGTAAATCAAATTTCATTACTAATGTAGGGTATCATATGGTCGATCTAGCCTGAATTTACTTTCTTAACTGTTTTTATTCAATTATTTTACAAATATTTCTTCTTCTTTTTTATTTCTTTTTTTTTACTTAATTGATTTCTATTAAATAATAAATTATAAAAACTAACTCATAAGTACCCAGCAAAAACTTACATTGAAAAACTTACAAAAACTTACTACTACTTTATTAGCATTTTAAATCATTATTTTAACACGGTGATGACATTAGAGGCAAATACTTACCACGCTTGCTTACAAATAATTACTTAAATAAGTACTTATAATTAGAGAGTTAAAATGTTGTTTTGTTTTACTCACAAATAATACGAACTTGGGCCTCTTGTTCGTTAGTTTGATGTCTTACTCACAATACCACTGCTTAGTTA